ATATATATATATATATATATATATATATATGTATATATGTATATATGTATATATGTATGTATATATATATGTATATGTATGTATATATGTATATGCATGTATATATATGCATATGTATATATGTCTCATTTGTTTATTTATTTGCTTGTTTGTTTGTTTATTTATTTGTTCATTCATTTACTAATCCATTCCTTTCACTTGCTTATTTATTTTACTCATTTTTGTTTGTTTTATTCAAACAATAGCCTAATTAATTCACTTGTCCGTTTGTTTAATTAACCAATATCTATTTAATTTATGTTTGCATAATATATACCATCAATAATTTAGGTACATTATTTCAGCTAAAAGCGGCGCAGGATGAGATAAAGCAGCCGCGAAAGCAGAACAAAGCTGAAGTAGAAAGATGCGAATTTGTGGCTGTTAGTTCATATATTCTTCTGAACTTTGGAAGAGTTGGGCAAATCTTTTGTATTATTGTGGTTTCGAATGTACAAATATAGAGATATATATATTTGGTAATGCATAGCAATTCCAGGAAGCAGAAGAGAAATTTTTACGTGTTAATACCGAATTGATGGAATCAATGCAAAGGCAGACTGAGTTGGAGAAAGCAAATGGTGAATTACAGCATAAGCTTAATGAGGTCTTCAATAGAATTTTATCATTCTACATTTGTGATACATTGGACTCCATCAATCTTATATTTTGTACGAGTGCGGCTTTTTCACTACCGTCTTTGAAAATGTGTCCTTTTAAAAAATTCTTTGCGGTTCTCTTGCTGCGTTGCTGAATAACTCTTTTTGTGATTCACCTTTTTTATTTGCTTTAATGGGAGCAATTTAAAAAAAACTACAGTTGTAGGAACAGCGAAAGGAAAAAATTCCTGTTAAAATTAATTTAGGCCTCTGAATTTTCAGTTTTCCAGTTCTTGTTGTATTTGCTTAAGCAATTTTTTCAGGCATCGATGCAAGTGACAGAAGCTGAAAGACTTCGGGTTGAATTAATTGCATTAGTAGAGCAGAAGCATGCTGAAAGTGTTAAATATCATACTCAGTTGCAGACTGCACTTGTTGAGAAAGAACACCAAAGCAACACTTTTGCCACATACGCTGAAAGATTACCTATCTTGGAGCAAGAATTGAAAAAGTATGATTAATTCGAAAGACGAATTTTGCTATATAATTCTATTCGCCATCATTATTAGCAGTTTCTTGACAAATTGTCCATCTCTTGTTTTTTTCTTCTTAATGATGGAAATTTTTAGTTGCGTGGAGACTCGGGATAAAGCATTAAGAGAATGCGAACGATTACGTGATCATTTGCTGACAATGGAAGAAACATCGACCAAGGAAGCTCTAGCTGGAGAGGAACGAGAAACTGAATTAAGACAACGAATCAGAATACTAGAACAAAAGACGGAAGAATCAGCAGATAATGTTATAGAGTCTGCTAATGTGTATCAGGTGACTATCTGTTTGCCATTTCTGCGCCGAATACAGCATAAAAGTTAGACGGATGGAATTTTTTGGAAACAAGATTTTTTAGCTCAACAAAGGAAGGGAGAAAGATTTAAACCAAAAATTTAAATATTTCGTGAATAGGACGTGGCTACTGGACATTTTCATTCTCAAAACGATGGCTTCTCTGTGCAGTTGTCTGCGTACTCTTTTCTTTAAAGAAAGTGACCGGACGATTTCTTTACAGAAGGTTTTGTAATTTTTATTTAACTAGTCTTTATCCTTTTTCACATTGCGGAATTTTGCAGCGACAAATTACCGAATTGACCGATGAATTAGATTTTATGAAGAATGAGCAGGTATCCATCGTCGACAGGTTACGAGAACGGGAGAAAACATTAGCCGATACGAAAATGGCACTCTCAAATTTACAAAATGTTTTGCGTGATATCGGTATAGATCATGAAGCACAGGTGTTACAGTACGAAAATACTATTGCTGAGATGAAAAAAAATGTGGAAGTATGTATTTACCAAACTCAGATCTACTTCCCCATTTGTTTTCCCTTTTTTGAGCAAGGAAAAAGATCTGATACTGATAATTTTCCATTGGTACATCTAATAATGATTCATATATTGTTTACTCTGATTATAAATTTTTTTTTGGGAAGCAGATATTTCCTCGTCTGGGCACCCATTTTCTGCTTTTATTTTAGAATTTAAATCTGGAGATAGCTCAGTTTAAACAGATGCAGGAAACCATCGAGGCCGAAAAGCAATTGTTGGAAGGTAAAACTGTGTATCTCAAAGAAGAAATTACGAGGAAGAATGCGGTAGGTAGATTACAACTGTCAAAATTCAGTAAAAGTTTGAGTTTTTGTTATACTAAAATGCTCTTTTATTTTCTTTGCTAAGGAAGAACTTTGGCTGTTTAATTGATCTGCATACATTCTTTGTAGATTTAGCTATTGTCTTTTATAGATGATTGAAGAACTTGAAGCAAGCCTTGACGAGCATGCGCAACTGGCAGTAGCATCAGTATCATCGTACAGCATTGATGATCAAGTACTTCGTCAACTGTTTCTGTCATATTTTACCGCTGACAAAGACAAACAACCAGAAATTGCCATCTTATTGGCGTCGGTGCTAGGTTATTCACAGGAGGTCATGTTTTTAAATCCAGTTCAGCCATGTAGTTCGATTTGAATATAAAATAGAGAGAAGATGAC